GTTGACAGCTGGGAAAAGCAACTAAATATTTATCTTTAAACTTTATTTTCTGTTAACGTAAGCTATTTAAGGAATTAACTCAAATTACTTTATATGTTCCGAAGTTCGTACAATACGCTCTGTCTAGTTATACATAATTCGCCTTAAGTCAAACAACGGTCGAGCAGTATCGTAAACACGCCGAACCATAAAGATCATGCGTCCGACAGCTGTTGTGAGCTATGCCTCAAATGGGGTGAACTAACAAGGCTCGGGAAAGCCTCATTTGGGATGCAATTTTCCCGACAGTCACACCAACATGTTACCACAAATATTTCATCAAACTGAATTACGGTAGTCCGGTCTATATGAAAAAGGTTATGATAGAATTTTCTTACTTCCTTATATCTCTATACTAATACATCGGATACTTTTTGAACTGTCTAATTCATTTAAATCTAACTTGATTTTATTTGTATTTTGCAAACTTATATATATTCTATTTAATGCCATAGACTGTTTAAAATTACTACAATTAAGAGACGATGACGACGTAGTATTGAAACCGCAAAGCGTATATCTAAGCGTTATTTTGCGGTTTTGTTTGCTTTTATTATTAGCATCAAAACGTTCCTATTACTTTGTCATGTCTCGCACGCGTAATTGGGAATACGATCTTTATTGTAATGCGAAGGTTAAGTACATTGACTAAAGATTGTCGAGGCTAAATACAACATTTTTATAACGAGAGAATTACAAATTACAATTAACAAACGATTCCAAGAGCATTGTTTAAAATTCTACCGCGTCAATGCTAAATGAAAAGAATTCTAATTACGCGCACCGGCTAATGCAGTTTAGCGCGAAATGACGACGGAAACGTGGCATTGTCTTTCAGTCAACAAATCGGTCAATGTCAAGCGAGCGCTTTCGATTTCGATATCCGCGCCGCTAAATCTGCAAATGTCGCGGCGAAAAGGTAACCAGCGGTTCCGGACATGACTACTTGGTAACCAGTAATTCTCAATTATCTACCTGATGTCTAGATCGCTCTAGTCATTTTATTTCTAACCGATAGACAGCATTTCTGCTTTAGATTAGGAATTTATGTAAGGACTATAGGTGAAGAAAGTCATCATCACTAGTCAAAAAAAACCTTCATAATTTTCTTCTCAACTAAGTAGCCACTCTTTGTCAAACTCTACTCTCACAGAAACTATATCCGGAAAAGCTCGAAAGTTTCAGTTGCATGATCTTTGGTCAAGATAGAGCAATCATCAAACCTGGCACGTGATAGGGGGTAGGGTTCGACGGCGGTAGCCAATAGGCGGCGCTGATTGGCGGGTAGCTACCACTATTTGACCTGGCTCCGCCCGCCTTGCCGCGAGCGCCGCCCGCCTCGCCACGCATCCTTCACTTCACTTCACACCACTTCACGGGCACTTCACGACATGACGCGTCTGCATTCAACCGCGGCCGGGACACAACTAAACACGTATAACGATAGCGAGGTGCGCGCGCGCTGACGGACGATCAGTCATTCTTCGCGGGCCTGTGTCACTTGTGCTCCTCGTCCCTTCGCCCCCGCGTCTGCCGCACACCTCTAATGAGCTCCGTCCTGTCTGCGCGTCACGTCGACGTTTTCCACTAGCACGGCGGCAGTCGGCATTCGGCAGCGAGGCTACGTGTCATCGTTTCCCACTCGGCTCTCTCGATGTCAAACTGACTGACCCACTTCGCTCTTTCATCGATGTTCTTGCGCAATTGCTAATTTGTATTTCATTTACATTCGTTACATTTTTTCTATGAATTTCAAAACAATGATTTGTAGTTTTTAATAGGTTTGAAGTTATTTTAGTGATTGATCGACAGTTATGTATTCATCATGTCGTGGGCATAAATATCAATGGTTGTACTTCTTATAATATACTTCTGATTGAACTTCTGATTGGGAATTTTAAACATAGTCAACCTGGACCTACTCATGTCTTGCTTACATTTGCCTGCTTTTTCTATGGTGAAACTTCTCTAACCAATAAGATCCTAATTCCACCTTTTATCGGTCACCTGTACCTTTATAGTATGTATTTCATTGTAATAATTTCAACCTATGGGACCAGAATCAGTGTTTGGTTCCCACTCACTTCCTCGTATTAAATGACTGAAGGTCTAAACAAATTTGCCTATTTGACGTCACGAGTGGGTGCTGCCTACAGAGTACAATAACTAAATCAAAGATTATAAAACGCAGACTAACGCATATTTAAAAAAGTAGAGGGTTTGTGTAAAACTTCAACTATGTCAAAATAGATTTGCACAATCTTTCATATCTTTACCTATAATTTGGTACAAAATGCAGCTAGTTTGATATGTCTCATATTGGCTTTTGCATCAAATGATCTGATCAATATTAAAAACTCACATTCATGCTACAAAAACCTTTAACAAACGTGATTGTGTCAAGTCTATGACACGATATTTTTTTTTCTCTTAAACTGAACATTTTCTAATCATTGTCTAGTTAAACTTTCGAATGTAAAATGTAAAGTAAAACATTAACTTATTTGCAGCCATTGCTGCATGTAACAATTCGCAGTACGCATGAGTTTGACACTGCTAGCTAGATGTATTCAGTTTACAAACACGACCGGAGACAAACAGATGGTATTTAGCATTCGGTAGACGATCTCACGTCACCACAATATATTGTATTTGCAAATCAGTTAAGTGGAATCACAGTTTCTGCGACCTGGGCAGCATACGCTTGCCTGTTTGACATTAAATCCATGTAAACTGTCACCGTAAAATTTCACTACACTGGCACTTGTTTATTACATATTCCTATCTCTGTTTTGTCAAAGGGAATAAAAAGGACGAAATAACGACTAAGTACAAGAGTCACGGCAATGTAATTCTACGGTTAAGCTGTAACACAACAAGGGCGAGTAGATCAAGACAAAAGTATTGAGATCGGATTGGAGTGAAACTGCACTTCTATCTGATTTCTATACGTTCTTCTTCTACAGGTTTATTTTGTTGCTAGATTTTGATAAACGTGCCCTAAGAATTCATACTTCTATTCTGCTTTCTTTTGTTTTTATAATAAAAATATGACATTCGTAATTTAACACATCCTTACACACAATACGCATACTTCGTTCAATTGCTTCGGATCGTATTAATTTACTATTAATTTGCAAAACGACGCTGTTAAAATGTTTTTACTGTTTTCACGTCGTTAAAATGCTCGTTAACCGGTGAACTGTTTTAAATAAGCAACATACTGTCATGTGAGTCGCCATTCGGTTTAAATGTACATAAAATTTTAAAAAAGTGAGTTTTATAGTCAACAAACATATGAAAAATATCTTCAAAAAACCCTAAATTTAATTGTTCATAGTTCAAATTGAAATTATTAGGATAACGTTAAGACTACGGAAAAAAATTGAAAAAACAAACGACGTTATCATTCAAGGCGAAAGCAATTGATATTTTATTTAATAAAGCGAGCTTCAGTCTACATCGAGGTCACAAGTCAATATTGGAATTTCAAGAAAACACGCAATCGGAAAACAAACTGGAGGAATTTCCTTTCGATAAACGTTCAACGTTACAAAGTTTTCCGAGTGACAAATCTCATTTATGTTTCTCACCGGTTCATGTTATTTAGTTGTGTTCCATTTTTATTTTACTCTAGTTTGCGCCGCAAAGAGTAATCTCTTTTCATACCGGGACTTAGAGGATTTCATTTGAGCAAAATGTTTTCTTAACTAAACAACCTCGATAATATTTTTATAGATATTTCTCTGAATAAATGTAGTAAAGTTATGTTTCCTCGAGTAATCCAATTGATTCAACAAAACCCCTAAATATATTTATGTTATTGAAAAGCGATCAAAGGATAAGTGAATTGAAGGAGTTTCTATTTAATTTTCATAGACATTTTAATGCTATTAAAATTGTATTCGAAATATGATTTTTACGTATCTAATGGCTATTATAATGCATGTTACAAAACGTAATTATAATACGTGTAGTTAACATCATGGCTACATTGATTTCGATCAATAGTATGTTATTTGCGTTGTGCTCAGCGCACGAGCTCTGTCGCCCGAGTGATCCGAGACGAGACATCAGCTAATCCGATGCACTGACGTATAAATAGAATACAAACGCTCACAGATTGAATATGCATGCTTCCCCACGTATGCGTAATATGTGTGCTAGTGATATAGGGTTGTCGAAAACATAAGAATTAAAATGACTAAGTATAAAAATCCTAGCCGGATTTATAACATCTAGATTGATAAACAACAGAAGGTATTTAGAGTACAACTCAACGTGTGTTGTCTGTGAAAAAAAACTTACAACTTTTCCTAATTGTAATGACAAATCTTTTATTTTAGATTTTTCTTATGAGAAAAAAGAAAGTGAAGAAATACTTATTGTTAAATATTTATTTCTGCGATAACAATATTTGGGAAACAATAATGAATTAAACGTTAACAAGTAAAAAACAATTTCATAATAATTAGAGTAAAAGCACAAATGAAATAGCGCTCAGAGATAAAGCGGCAACCCTGTAAGCGCGGGATTATGTAAGAGCACGTGTTCCGCGGCGTGCAGCGCAGCGCTAAAAAATCCGCTCAAGTCTGATGCGAGCTTGTTTTGTGCAAGCTACACTCGTAAATAGCTCGTTTAGCGCGAAATTAACGCTTTAAAGCGCTTAGCTCATGTTCGCTTAAAATCATTTTATAGCTCCCAATCACATTTAACGGAAAGAATCTTTTATTTTTTTCTATATATCGATTGAAAACCAGATGAGTACTGGTTGAAAAGAAATAATAATGACGTCATTACAAGATCAAGCACACGTGCCAGACATACGATACAGAATAATTAAAAAATCATAATAAAGGCGCGTCTTCACTAGTGTAATCGACTCGAGTTTATATTGTCTAGTTCCAAAATTAAGGGTGATCACAAATTAGATATATTATTAAATTTAAAAGTTAGCTCACCATTTCTGTTTTCGCTGTCAGCCGGTTTCATCTGGATTGGATGATGCATCTAAAACAAAAAGAAAACAATTAATAAATATTTTTGCTTGAATAATTTTATTTAACATGTAACATTTGTTAAAGCGCAAATTATAACAGTCGATATAGTCGAGAGCGTCGGTGGCTTAGTGGTCAAGCACTTGACTTGCAATCTGCAGGTCCTGGGTTCGAATCCCGCCATGTACCAATGTGTTTTTCGATTTCCGATTTACATATGTACATTTATCCGACGTTCTTACG